GGTGTCTTTAAAATGCAAATAACACTAAGGGGGAAGCACTTAAGAGAAAGGGACATCTGTACAAAAGAATATGACATATATAATTTGGCAACAATATCAACAATGATGCAAATGCAAAAAAAAAAAAGTGTGTATGGTCACGTATATTTGTGTATAGGCATTTGTTACAAGGGTAGGTACAGGTATATACATGTGTGCACAGAAGTAGCTATAGGTACAAGTACAGATATATGCGTGCAGCAACATATATTCATAGAAGACATAATTAGAAACTTCTCAGACATAACTACCTTGTGAGATTGGTTTTCTACGTTTGAAGGCTTAGCACCTTAGTCTCATGGGACAACTCAGTCAATTGGCATAACATAGTTCACAAAGTTCATGTTCTGCACCCTAGTGAGGTGAGAAGCGTCTAGGGTCTTAAAAGCTTGTGACAGCAGCCATCTAAGACACAACTACTGGTCTCCACTCGTCAGGACCAAAAGAGAAAGAAGAAAACCAAAGTCTCAAAGAAACTAGTCTATAGAGCTAACAACCTACATGCGCCACGGCTTCATCTACCCTGAGACCAGAAGAACTAGATGGTCCTCAGCTACCACTACCAACCATTCTGATCAGGGCCACATGGATGGACTCTGATAGACAGGGAGAAAAATGCAGAACAGAACTCAAATTCTTAAAAAGTCCAGATTTACTGGACCAGTTGAAACCAGAGCACTGCCTGAGACTATCGCCCTGAGATACTCTTTAATCCCGGAACCAAAACTATCCTGAGATCACCTTTTAGCGAAGTAAGAGAGTGGCACACAAAATAAAGGATATTATCCATAAGTACGATGCTCTACTAAAAAAAACATCTATTTGAGACCAAAAGGTCAAGACGAGAAGATAAGGGGGCAAAGAAACTAGAGTACTGGAAACAGAACAATCAGAAGGCAATTAAAGAGAATGCTGACACATTGTGAAAAATGTAACTAATGTCACTGAACAATTTTTTGGTCATTGTTGATGTTGTTGCCAAATTACATATGTCATATTCTTTTGTACAGATGTCCCTTTCTCTTGAGTGCTTCCCCCTTAGTGTTATTTGCATTTTAAAGACACCAAAGTGAGGCCTATAACTGGGTTTGTAGCTGTTACTTAAAACTGGGGCCTTTAGAAGACTGGCCTCTGGAAAACAAAACTTTGAATGTACAAGTTTATATGACAAATAAACTTGTTTTCAGTCGATAATTTACAGAGTTAACTTTCACCAACAACACATTAAAATATTATTTGTAAAAAAAGAATGCAAATAAAAAGAAAACAGTTGAAAAGACCATACTTTTATATCAGCTGGGCTACTACTGGTTACCTCACAAAACAAAAAAGGAGTGTTTTAAATCTGCAGATGTCCATAAAAGTTTAGACTTTCCTTATAAAAGTCAAAATACTACCACTGTTAATAACAGCTAATGTTTACTAAGTGCTTACTATTATATGCACTGTGCTAACTGCTTTATGTGTATTATCTTATTTAGTTATCAAAACAACACTAGGACATTAGACTACTATCATCTCATTTTTACAAATGAAGAAACTGATTCAACCAAAATTACAGAGCAGCATTATTCCTTGTATCCGTATAAACAAAGTACACAGAACTACATATAATTTAAAAAACTACAACAAATTTCATGACTTTTCCAGCTAATTTTGGAGGAGCCTATACCTTAAATTGTTTTATAAAGCTGAAGAAACTGAGTGTGTTTTAAGAGGGATTTCCAGTTTCTACCAGGCAATGGATCTGAATGAGAGTGTGTACCTGTTCACAGTTCACTGATGACTTCCATCAAATACACGTGTCAGTGCCTGAAATAATCACTGGGCCCAGTATTCTGACAATTTACATTTTATCTTATCATTTACTAGGCTACCTTAGCAGATAAAAAAAATTTAATAGTAAAGGCTAACAGTGCAAGCTAACATGTATAAACAAAAGCATTTTTCTCCTTAAGGTAAATAATACTGAGCACTTTAGGTAAATAATACTGAGCACTTTAGGTAAATAATACTGAGCACTTACCAAGTGCTAGGCACATGATTTTAGAGGTATTATCTCATCTAATCTTCATAACAACCATCATTTTACAAATAAGAAAACAAGCGAGTGCAATAAGCTGAGTAACTTGCCTGAAGTTACACAGCTAGTAAGCTATACGGGTAGGATTCAAATCCAGAGAGCATTACTGTAGAGCAGCAGTCAGCAAACTATAGCCCATGGCCCAAATTTGGATGGCCACCTATTTTTGTAACTAAAGTTTTATTGGAACACAGCCACACTCATTCATTTACATATCATCAATGGTTACTTTACTTTCATGTTACGACAGAGTTGAGTGGTTACAACAGAGACTGTGTGGTCTAGAATAATTAATATTTGGTTCTTTACAGATGAAGTTTGTTGACACTACTCCAGTGTTGCCCCATAGAGCCTTTTCTGTGATGATGGACATGTTCTGTATATGTGCTGTCCAATAAGGCCATTACTAACCACATGTGGCTACTGAGCATTTGAAATGTGAATAGTGTGACTGTGGAAGTAAATTTTTAATCTTATTTATTTAAATTTAAACAGCCACATGTGGCTAGATGCTACTATGTTAAGAACTGTGAAGAGTCTGAGATTTTTCCCTACTTGCAACGTAATACATTAACATGCAAAAGTTCCATGGACTCTGGCTGAAGACATGCAGCTTCTGGGTCAAAGACAATGAATTTACTATTCATGACATAGCAGCCAACATGAACTTCATGTTCACATCAGTTCCTTTGTCCCCCAAGTCCATGGAGGTGACATGAAACAGCCTAGGTAAATGTTGCGCATGTAATGGGTTTGTGTCACAGCTCAGGAAGCCCAAGTTTAGTAAATCCCAATCTTTTATTATGGGCTTCAAGCAAATCTGCTCTAGAGGGAGACTTTATCTTTGTTAGACTGGGCAGCAAACAAATTTACCCTTTGCTCCGGAGGGACACACTATTTCTATCTTCCAAGGATGTTCAGAATACAAACAACCTTGAGCCGACTGGAAAAAAACTTGTGTCTCTTCTTGCAAGATGTGCAGAAATGTAAGACCCATGGAGGACTGTCTCCTTCCCAATACTGTATAGGACAGCATAGCTCTGAAGCCCATCCTATTAACCACTGCACTATATCATCACGGGCTTGATTAGCCTATCAAAATCTATTGTATTTTTAGCATCTTTGTGATCTCTCCTAACTCTAATTTTGTTACAGATCACATAAGGTTGATTCATTTGTTCAAAAATTCAACATTAAAGAAACTGGGGGGGAAAATTGACATCTAAAAAAATGTTACGTTGGACACAGTTTTAGAACTGGAAGGGATGTTAACAGAGACAACCAACTAGTTCAACCCCTTTATTTCACAAGCAGAAAACTGAAGTCTAAAGAGGTTGAATAACTTGGTAAGGTCACCCTTTTTGGTTTACAGTAGCCCTAGGTTTACAACCCAGGTCTCTATCCAATATAGCATGCTACTTTTAGTTTGTAACGGCTGAACCTGGTTTTTTAACCGAGGTTCCACTACTTTTAGCATCTCTGTGATCCTGGACAAGGTTTACAGAGGTTTCTAACCGTAAGTTTTCTCACCTATAAAATGGAACCAACAATAGCACCTCCTTCATATGCGCTGTTGTTCAGGAGTAACTGAAAGCACACGGAAAGTACTCAATCCACGTTACTATTGTCTTAGTTATCTAGTGCTGCTAGAGGAGAAATACCACAGTGGATGGCTTTAACCACCCGGAGTGAGCCCTGGTGGTGCAGTGGTTGAGAGCTCAGCTGCTAACCAAAAAAGGTAGGCCACTTGAATCCACTAGCTGCTCCTCGAAAACCCTACGGGGCAGTTCTACTCTGTCCTGTAGGGTCGCTATGAGTCGGAATTGACTTGACAGCAACAGGTTTGGTTTTTGGTTTAGAAGTCATTTAAGTATTCATCTTTCACTCCACCTCATGAGAAATCAGTAAATCAGCAAAAAACAAAGCAAATTAAGGATTTCATTAGGGAAAAAAAAAAAAAATTAACCTTCAAAAATCACTGCTAGAGTCATTAATAACTCACCACTATAAACCCTGGTGGTGTAGTGGTTAAGTGCTACAGCTGCTAACCAAAAAAAGGTCAGCAGTTCGACTCCACCAGGCCCCCCTTGGAAATTCTATGGGGCAATACTACTCTGTCCTATAGGGTCGCTATGAGGCAGAATCGACTTGATGGCAATGGGTTTGGTTTTTTTATACTCATTACCAACCATTTCTGCATCTGTGGATCCACTATAACCATCATTATAACTGAAATTCATAATGGCCATTAAGAAAAAATTACATTTAGAATAGAATGACCAAAAACAGGGGTTTGGTATATTCTTGTAACATTTTGAATCTAATCCTCAAGAAGTTAAATCCTCTGTTATGTAGAAATTTCATTTGTGAAGGACGGCAAGCTCCTTACCAAAGCAGATAAATGGAAACTTCACTATATGTTGCTTTATTTTCAGTGGGTACTAATATTTGCCCTTACGGTACCCAAAGTCCAAGTAAAGCTATGTTTTTCTACATGTTCTTTGTCTTGTTTTCAAATAATAACCCTCACAAAAACGTCAGCACCTTTAGTATGGATATAAAGTATCACTATACTGCATGAAATAGGAAAAATAATTAGGCAAAAAGAGCGTGCTTCAGATCTGATAGACATTTTGCAGTAAAATCAAATCTGCAGTAACAAAGCATCCTGGTATTTTGAATATTTTGCTCTACAAGAAGCATTTAAAGGGCTGCTGCTGAGTTGAAAATCAGTTAAAAGAAACTGTTCAAAGTCTACGCTTAACCAAGGGCCAGTCTAAAAAAGAAACTCACAAATTCCACTTACAGTCTAGGATGGGATTCCCAATGTCATCTTTCTCATTCAAAAGCCTTTTAAATATGATTTGTAGTAACTCACATTTACTGGACTGATACTCTGAAAGCTGTTTCCCTTCATGATCCGTCCAAGGAGAGGGTACGATGACATCTTTAGTGAAAAACTAAGAAAATCAAAGTCATACAATTAGGCATAAAATCCCCACAAGATATAAAGTTAAACGGCACCTGGGTTATTTTCATTTAATCATTTCAAACATGTCATATACTGATTTTATAGTTATACTTAAAATTTTTAATACTTAAAGGCACAAATAACTAAAGGTGAGATAAAAGGAATTTAAAGTATATATAAAGAGAAATCTTAATACTTCAAATCAACCACTTAAATTTGAATCTTGCAGGTTAAGCTAAACGCATTAAACATAGAGAATATATTTTTAATTTCTTCCTCCAAATTTTTTTTTTTTTTTTTTTTGGGAAGAGGGAAGATGAAGAGGGAGGGAACAAATGGAGATAAAGGCATGCAAGTAAGCCAGTATCAATGATGTGATAAAGCTGGCTTGTACTGGCTTGCAAGATCTGATTATTAAATATTTGGGAATTATGTGTACCAGTTGTTAAATAAAGCAGTTATCAAAATAAAACTACGTAAACTTACAATTAAATAAATTATACTAAAAATAAAGGCCATAAATACTCAAAATTCATTACTTGCTAATTATTTCACATTTTACCAGTATCTATGCTCTTGGGATTAATCACATCTTTTGTGTCTGTATGGTAGAACTACTGCACATAATAGTATGCCACTGCATGTCTCTTCCCATTCAGTGATGTCACATTAGTAGCCTGAAATTGGCATTAACTGGAGTAATTACACCATGGATAGCAGCGATCACACTCCCAACTCCACAACCAGAGAACCAGTTATTAAATATTTACCAGCACACCACTGGCCAAATGGAGACGGAGCATTTGGAATACAGGCATTCCTCAGGTTACAAACACCCAACTTACAAACAACTCATACTTAGGAATGGACTGCCATAAAGCCTATCATATTAAAAATTTGAATTAAACACAGTGGTTCGTAATAACAAACTCACGCACTACTTTGTAACACTCATGAAAACACTGCGTGGTTTTGAAGTGTTTAAGTGTATTGAAAGGTAGAATATATACTATATACTAGGACAAACATTTCACTGATGCCAAATAAGAACCATATATACTGTTCCGACTTACCTACAAACTCTATTTAATAAGAGACTTAGGAATGGATCTCATTCATAACCCCGGGACTGCCTGTACATTTCTTTCCTCTTTCATTTCAGATAAAATTAAACCTAATATAATATGTTTGCCTTCCCTCTCTATGTTTTGGGGGCAAGTCAAATCATTTTCTTTATATTTTGCTACACATGTGACAAACAGCTAATTTCTTAATTACACTATCTATGAATCTATGAGAAAAGATTTTAAAGAAAGGAAAATGGGCAGAGATTACAATTCCCAAGAAAAAAGGAAATATAAAGGATCCATAAACATGAAATAATGCCTAAGTTCACGCAAAAGTAAATGCAAAGCCAAATAATGAGATGTCATTTTTTTAAAGTAAAAAGATAAGCAAAAATTAACAAGTATGGCAATATTTAGTACTGCTAATATGTAGCCAGAGATATAAATTAGTACAACCTTTTGGGAGGGCAATATGGCAAAATCTACCAAAGTGATAATTCACAAAGTGTCTATCTTAGCAAGTCCATTTGAAGTACACAAAGGTATATATGTACAAGTATATTCACCACAGCATTATTTGCGATAGAAAAAAATGAACACAACCTAAAATTCTATCAATAAAAACCGAAAACCAAACCCATTGCCGTCAAGTCGACTTCGACTCATAACAACCCTATAGGACAGAGTAGAATTGCTCTACAGAGTTTCCAAGAAGTACCTGGTGGGTTCAAACTGCCGACCTTTTGGTCAGCAGCTGTAGCTCTTAACCACTGTACTACCAGGGCTTCCAGTCTGTCAATATGGCCTGGGTTAGGTTATGGTACGTCCATAAAATGGAACACTATGCTGTTTTTGAAACAATGTATGTGCTAATTATCAAAAAATACCTAAGAAAAATTATTAAGCAAAAAAGGTACAAAACAGTATGATGATCATATTTGTTTACAATATTTAAAAGATATATAATTTTATGTACATAAAATTAACCTGAAAGGGACACAAGAAATTTTATAATCGTTACCTTTAGAGAGTAAAGAGGAAACAACAGGAGAATAAAATGGCTTATCGTCTTTGTTTTATATCTTTTCTTTGCTCTTTGAATTTTTTGTTTTTACTATGTGCAATATTTATTACTTCTATTTTCAAAAATAAAAATTAAAGAGAAAAAACTTAATTTGTTTCTTATACACTAACCCTAATCTTCACTATGACTTCATTTTCATAAGTTTTGTCTTCTGAATTTCCCTTTAAAGTTGAGGATTCTAAAGAAAAAGCATATTTTTCAAAATGCTAGGGAATGGGAAAGAGTCTGAGAATATTCCAGTGGGGAAGAATTAAGTGACTGGATCAGAGTGAAAATTCTGATGTTACTAGACAAAACTAAGAAGTAGATAATGTTTGGCAAGAGTAAAGTATATGAAACTGTATTCTAAGAAATAGACCATATCCGAATTCAAAAGGACATAACCTACACTAGAAAAACAAGTGCAGTAGGAAACATGGCAATGGTCTCTGAACATGTCATAGCTGAAGTCTTTTGGGTTGCAGAAGTACCAATTATACGTACGAAATAGAGGGAGCCAGAGAGGAAAATAAGAAATGTTGCCATGGACATAAAGACTTTCTGAGGAAATAACTAGATAGATAACCTTTATACTCTAAAAGAAGGAGATGGGCAAACAAATAAACAAAAAAAACCCAAAAGTGGAAAACTCAGCTCATTATCTTTATTATTAAAAAAAAAAACTACACTTGTGATATACTTTTTCTATTTAAAGGTAAGACATTTTATTTCATGAAATATATATTTTAAAAATCCAAAGTATCAACAACAAAAAAAGATAAAACCATTACCCATACCAATCTAGATGCTTAAAGCCTGAAAATACTCAACTTACTCTACATAAACTCCAACCTGAAAGAAAAGTTTGTGCTAACCAATATTCTGACGGCACAAGAAAGGCAAACTGTACTAGGCTCTGAGAAAGGAAAGATGAATGAGGCACAATATTGGCCAAAAAAGAATTCAGTCTAGAAGCCAGGAAACAATTAAACCAGTAATTATGAGAGGTTCTAGGATAGCTGGAAAACTGGTTTTATGGGAGCACAGAGGGACACTTAATATAGCTGGCAACAGGTTGGTGAGGAGATGGGACAGTGAAGGAGTTGAAGGAAGTCTTCCTAAGAGGTGACATGCATACAGAACTGAAGTTGAACTAGCTTAATGATCAGTAACAGTTTTAAGTTACCTCTTCAATGGCTTTTTGTCTTTTGTCTTCCACATCTTTATCTATTCTATACAGAGATAAAGAAGAAAAAGAACCATGCCATTACTTTAGTTTACTGAACACTTAAAATAATAACCTTTCAAAGGAATAATTTTCTTGAGTTGAAAACTCATAAATGCTAAGCTCACCTGAAAAAACCGGTACCTTATAACATTTAGTAAATGTAAATTTAGTATTGTGAAGTTCAGCATTCCATTTCATTCCTTTCCACTGAAGATGTGAATGGAATATTTTCTTTTAAATGGCTTACACTGATATAATTTAAAAATTACTATTAATAACATAAAGAAATGTGAATAAACTTTATACTTTAATAACCACAAATTAAGCACTTCTTTCCACAGAAATCTAAAAATCATCCAAATTCTTTCCCTTCAATTTATAGCAAGTTTATTATAGCAATAATATTAAGGTCAACTCTTCTCTGAAATAGAAGAAAATGATCATCCTTACAGTTTCTGAACAAAAACATTAATTATGAAATAAAACAATAGACTGACTATGCTATAAGATCTAATACAAAATGTCGGGTCTAAAGCACAAGGCATATACTTGCCAAGGACTAAGCAGTTAGCCTTGTAGGACCACTTCTTTACTCTGTTCCAAGAAAGAGTCATATTTGTTTTCCATCAATAAATTGGTAAGACACTTTTTACAAGAATTGAAAATTATTATCTCTCAAAAATCTTTCCCATGTATATTTGTAGTTAAACAAAGTTTATATAAGGATGTAAATGTTTCAGAAATTCATCAAGTGAATTTTTCAGCTAAGGGAATTATGAGAAAATAGACTACAGTGATAATCCACATATCCCAGTCTGAACAGCAGCCATTTTGAGATAATAATTCAGTTCTTTTTACCATGGTCAAAATGACAGTGCACAATAATCTCAGTATACAGTAAGTAAGCTCTGATCTAGCATTACCTCATTTAGAAACCTTTTGCTGCTTCATCAGGTGATTGCTGCAAGAGGTGAAAATCAGTTTGGCCAAATATTACAGAGCCAGATCATGGAAGGTTTTAAGAAGTCATGTAGGGCAGAGCATCCTGACTACTATAGGGTAGAACACTGGCATGATGCCAGTGTTACAGGTGTGCCCTGAATGTTGCTCTCTTGGACTGCAGTGACCCTCATGATGGGTCCCCTTCTGTGTGGACAGACTCGTTAGTTTACAGCAGTATGCCTTACAGCTATCATTTTCTATGTGTGCCCTGACATGGAAAAGGTGGGCAGTACTAGAATAGGGAGTTCTGATTTGATAAGAAGAGTTACAGGAAGTTACTGCTTTTTTCTAAGAACGAATCAACATCTTTTGTTAAGACAGTCTACTCACTAACCTTGGTTGATGCCATTATCATTTACTGAATTACATTAGTAAATTAAATTAAAATTAGGGCCCACTCTTTTCTCCTGTGAACTGACAAGTCTATCCTGTGAACTACACCACGATTCTTTTCATAAACCTACTCAGATAATAATACATCACTTAATAACGGGTATAAAAAGATAGTGTCATAACTTTGGCTTAACTGCATTGCTGACTCTTGAGGGCAGGAATAACATCATATACTTCTTCAGTGTTCCTCACAATGTCTCATGGTGATTAACAAATATCTCATGATTGATAGATTTGTTTTGTAACAGTTATCAGTGGTTGAATATACTGAAGAGCTGAGGCAAAATAATAAAGCAGTTTGTGTGAAACAAAAAAATGAGTAACTGTGACTCCTTTGCTTTTAAATACCTTTTTTTACCTTCTCTTTCAAAGGTGTTATTTAAATTTAGGTTAAAATCCTTGTATGCTCAACCACCACTGTATTCCCTTTCTATGACACTTTGGATGGACGTTAACTAATTATGAGTGAATGGTAGAGGAAGGGGTAGAAAAGTCAGAAAATATTCACAAGAACATCTCAACATGTGTACATCTTCGTATGATTAAATTCTAAAGTCAAAGGGCAAAGGGTTATCTGTTGGACTGATGATGTATCCAACGTATCTACCTTAGTGCAGAAATTAAAAACTGGTCATAGCACCCATTTGACTTTTTTGAATATAAAAAAATCAGACTTTTAAACAGATATAAACAAAAAAGTCCATCAAACAAATACTGCTACCTGACAATGTGGAATCAAAAACTAGGTCTGTTCCCCCAAAGAAGTGCATGTTCTCAATACATTAGGCATCACTAAGCAGCATAAGCCTGAGGCACACTAGTGCTTTGAAACCTACACAATACATCACCAAATATATTAAGACTTAAAACTACTCTGGTTACTATGTAGAGCTGAAGAAAATGTAATTCTAAGGAGCCCAGGAGGCCCAGTGGTTAAGAGCTTGGCTGCTAAACAGAAGGTCAGCAGTTTGAATCCACCAGCCGCTCCTTGGAAACACTACGGGGCAGTTTTACTCTGTCCTATAGGGTCACTATGAGTCAGAATCGACTGGACAGCAACAGGTAAGTGTACCATAAGGAGCCCTGGTGGTGTAGTGGTTAAGTGCTTGGCTGCTAACCAAAAGGTCAGCAGTTCAAACCCACCAACTGCTCAGTGGGAGAAAGATTACAGCTTTAGAAACCCTAAGGGGTAGTTCTATTCTGTCCTATAGTGTTGCTATGAGTTGGAATCAACTCCATGGCAAAGAGTTTGTTTGTTTTTAGTAAGTGTACTATGTCAAAGTTGGATGATTTCTAGAAAAGTTTTCTTTATTGCTAGTGGATACTCTTCCATTCAACGTGTCTTAACTTGGTAAGAGGACTTTCAGCTTCTCCAATTATAGATAGCAACGAAACAGCATTTTGCTTTATCCACACATGGCAAAAAGGAAAAAAAGAGAACACTTTTAAAAAGGAAAAGAAAATTTTAAAAAGTCAATGGCAAAAACCGTAATCATGTAGAAGGTATGAATTTCAAAACACCTTGCCCTCTACCAAGTGCTGAAGAGGCAGAGTTGTTCCATAAGTAGCCTAAGAAGAAGGTTATCTCTAAAAGAAAAGGACTCCCACCCAGATTTGGAACTCTCACCAAGGGAATCTTTCTGGATGTAGTTCTTTGGAGTAACTCCTTATTTAAATAAGATAAATGTGCATCAAAATTTTTCCTCCCTGTTATCTTTACCTATAAAAATATTTGACCTTTCGAATTTCTTAGCTCTCTTCACTTGACAGCATGTTATCACACTTTAGTGCAGGAAAGGAAAACTTACCGAGAATGACTTAAGTATAAAGCTTGACGATGAATGTCCTCTGGGTCTATTTCTACAGGATTTATTACAGCTAGTTGATCAATAGACCATCTAAATTTCCCTGGAGTCTTAACAAAAGAAAGTAAGCTTATCAGTAAAAGCAAACTAAACTAGTTCATCACAATGCTAACCAATGTCACCTTCAAAAACAATGTGAAGAGCTATAATACAAAAATATTTTAAAGTTCTTATCTTAAAATTCGACTTTACCACTAAATTCAACGGCAAATGGTAATCATCACACTAAATCAACTTAACTGTATCTCTTTTAAAATACCAAAATCTTCGATCTTATTAATTTTTAAAATCATATAATAAGAAAAAAATCACATCAGAGTAATAAAGGTAAAAAATTCCACGATTAATACTCATCAATGATGCAACACACCCATGTAAAAGTAAACACCTGTTATAGATCTCAAAGGTCTTTACTTTCACTAAGAATAAATGGAAAATAAGCAAAGTTCTAACCATAGAAGTGGCTGCAAAAGCTCACAAAATAGTTGATCCTGAAAATAATTATGAATAGTAACAAGTGCTGTCATTCCTTATTCAACTACCCAATTGAACCAAAAGCTTATCCAAATCGCAATCAATAATCAGGAATATATTTTTGACAAATTCAGACCTAAAGTCCCTAGATGCCATGATTTCTGGATTTGAGGATAATGTTGCAGACATTCCATTATTTATTTTTAAGACTAACAGATAAGTAAAACTTAATGAGTCAAAAAAAAAAAAAAAAAAAGTCAATTAAATATCATGGGGTCAAATTATTGAAAAGACTCAATATAAACTGTAAAACTGCCATACTTTCTCCTCCTACGTATCTGCTCATTTTCCAGAATGATAGGAAAGGTAGCATAAACAGTCACCCAGTTTGCAGTTTTTCTAAGTAACTTACTAAGGTTAAAAGATCAGGCTTTACCAGAATTTCTCCAGTGTAGTAAATAACGATAAAAATAAGCTAAACTGATGAAGCCTCTCCTTATCTCCTAAAGAGCACTTTCTCTTCCATACTACCCTGTGCTTAACCATCAATCATAATACATATCACACTCTCTTCAAATTACTAGCTTAGCTGTGTCTATTCTATTACAGCAGGGGTTGAATTCTCTTTGTACAGACTACAAGCTAAGAATAGTTTTGAAATTTTCAAATGATTGAAAAAACTCCAAAAGAAAATATGACGTGACACATGAAAATTACATGAAATTGTAATTTCAATGTCCATAAGTAAAGCGTTATTGGAACCCAGTCGCGTTCATTTGTATATGTATTGTCTATGGCTGTTTTTGGAGCCCTGGTGGCAGAGTGGTTAAGTGTTTCGCTGCTAACTAAAGGGCTGGCAGTTCAAATCCACCAGCCGCTCCTTGGAAACCCTATGGAGCAGTTCTCTCTGTCCTTTAAGGTCGCTATGAGTCAGAACTGACTCGACAGCAACGAGTTTAGTTTTTAGGTTACGACTGTTTTTGCGTTACAAGGCAGAGGTCAGTAGTTGCCAAAGTGACCAGATGACCTGCAAAGCCTAAAATATTTACTGTCTGGCCCTTGACAGAAAGCTGCTGACCCCTGAATTAGAGTATAAGCTCCTTGAGTTTCTGTATAATGATCTCAGCTATCTCATGGTGTAACCCCTATGCCTAGCACTATCTGACACATAGCAGACTTCAAATAATGTTTGCCAAACAAATGAGAAAAGACTAGCTTTTAGATGACACAGCTTCTTCTCTAATCTGGTATTAGTACATTCATCATTACTCATAGTATCTAACTACATCTACAGTGCCATGGAGCTGTCCTGTGTTATCTGTTGAATTAAAACAAAAAAAGAAATGCTAACTAAAAAAATCTTCTACCTTATTTTTAGCTCAACCACCAGATTATAATGAACCCTGGAATTAAAAAAGCACATTCCAGCTATACATACTCCATGGTATACTTCTCCCTTAACTTGTAAAGAAAGGATACTTAAATTTAAGATTATTTGTAAACACAAGTCAAGGATAACTTACCGGTAATTTTGTTGATTTAAAAACAGAAGGACTGGAGAGAGTTTGCTCATGGAGATTAGAATAATCACCAGGACTTTCGAAAGGATTTAAAACAGTGATCCTTCCTGGAGTTTCTGGTGTTATTTGCATTTTTGATTCTTTGACATCTCCCATAGCACAAAGAGAAAACTAAAAAGAAATCAGAAATATGTATAATAAAACTATGAAGCTCCACAAATATTAGCTAAATTAATTAATACAATTAAAATGTATTCAAGAAACACGTATTTTATAAAAAGAATTAAGTCAAAACGTAATGCTCTCGGGGATTTTGTACAGTTGACAAAAAAGCACATCATATATATTCTCAAGTGATCCACCAAACAACCCTGGAAACTAAAGAGATAAAATCTCCCTTTGCAGAAGAATTAACAAGCTCACACAAGTGGCCGTCGACCAAATTAGAGCTCAGATACGCCTTCCACGCAACTAAATGTTACCAATAGGCACAAGTTCCTTTTCAACTAAAGGACTTATAGTTTTTTATTCATTATCTACAGTCTCTAAAGAGTTACAACATTCTTCCGACACCCTAGTAATTCCCTATCAAATTGTAGTTATTATTAAATAATTCTTAATAGCAAGCAAATAATAGATGAGGAAGCTTGTGCACGGATGCCGTTTTTGAACATTAGACCTCGCCAGAGAGTATGACTGATTATGACTAAGAAATGAACGGCCTTATGAAGTAACACCTTCTCAAACATCCTCCTCTCGACAAGACCCACAGGATAGAAGACAAGACTGCATTACTTCTAGGCAGAGGGATATACAACTAAAGAAAAAGAAGAATGTACTTCTTAGAAGACTGAAATGCAGCTGGCTTCCTTGGATCAAGGGCAGAAGAGGACATCAACGCCGGTGTCACCCCCAGCCCCAACGCGATCAGCCTTTCTGGGCGCCCCTCTCTTCCGCACCTACCCCCTAGCTGGTCCCACTAAACCCAGGGCGACCAGGCTGGCAGGTCTGAAGTCGGGAAAAGTGAGCTATCCTATTATAGACAGGAGGAAAGGCCAGGAACTACAAAGAACGTACCTACTGGTGTGTATAAAAAGGAAACCACGATTCCTAGGGCAGAAAGCCCCCAATAGCGACTCCAGGGTGCTCCAGAGCGGCCAGACCAGAGCCCACGACAAGCTGACTCTTTAACTCCCTGCTTCCGCGCTGTGTTAGGCCAACCAGTGCACGGGGCTTGTGGACGACTGGCCAATCGCGTCGCATCGCTGTCCGCGAACCAGCCAATCGCATCGAGGCCGCGTAGTAAATTCGAATGGAAACCCTCGGCTTCACATTCCGCGCAGCGTAACGAGGCTCCAAATTCAAATCAACGCAGCCGCACGCTGGCGACGAGCGCGAGGGGCGGAGCCTCCCTGGCGTGAGCCGAGGACGCGCGGTGGGATTGCTCAGGAGAAAGGAAGGTACTCCAGTTCCGAGTCAGGCCCTTCCCCGCCTTCGTTGGCCTGAGCGGCCTCAACCATGGCTAGTAGCGGCGCTGGGGCGGCGGCGGCGGCCGCTAATCTGAATGCGGTGAGGGAGACCATGGACGGTGAGTTCCTGTTTCCCTTCTTTTACATCGGCTCCGCTTCCATAGCCAAGGCCCACAGGCGAGGGTGAGGCCCGGGAAGACTTTAGGTCGACTTCCTGCCCCAAACGACGTTTTCTTTTGAAGATCTTCCGAAAGCACTGGCCAGGGCCGCAGGGCTGGCTGATGGTCTCATCCCTTGAGAGTTTTCTCTTGGCTCCAGCGTAGTTTGTCGCGCGCGCAGCGTTGGGGCCCCAATGTCAGCCTGGCTCGCGCCCCGCCCTCCTGTGCCCGACCCCGCCGCGTCCTCTAGAGCGGGACCCCGCGCGCCTTGACACGCCGACCGCATCCTCGCGCCGCGTCCCCCCGCCCCTCCCGCGCCGACCCCGCGCTCCTCGACACCCCGACCGCTCCTGCCTTGCCGGACGGACTGCGCGCTGTGACCCTCCCTCACTAGATCTGGCTGCCGCGCCCCCTTCCCGCGCCTGACCCGCGCGCCCAATGCGGACCTCCCCTTCTCTGGAGCAGGAGGCGCTGCGGGAGCCCACTACACTGTGACTTCCAAGCAGAGAGAGGATGTGTCTGGTCCCCGTTGTGTTCGTTGTCTTTGGCACTTAAGTGGACGCTTTTTAAGTATCCGGCGAATTAACAAATAGCCCCTTCATCAGAAATGCTCTGGTTTTGTCTTGGAGCGGATGACGGCAGTGTCAGGTGTTTCGGGAACAGTGGCCAGTTTTCGTGCCACGAAGCACATGGGCGTGAAGTTTACTCATGCGTGGAAGATGAATTAGACTCTTGGAGTCAGACCTGTCATCTAATGTCTTCTTTGCCACTTGTTTACATCTCTGTAGTGAACTTAAGCTCCTTAAACATCTTTGAGGCTGTCTCTCTGTGAAATGAGATTCTCCCAGGGTTAACTGTTCGAGTAAGATGACCAGGTAAAGGTATAGCGAAGGTGATCAATAAAAGGTAGCTACTCTGTTATTTTTTGTATTTATCAGATGTCATTCCAGCTGCAGACTCTTTTCTTTGTCTCTACGTTACACACATCTACCTATATATGCGTGTTTGATGGATGTTAAATCTTTCCGTTTACAGGGTCCCTCCTCATTTTCCAGGGGATACCCACATCAACCTCTGTTAAACAAACAACCCCACTGAATCCTCACTAGCTAGTGTCAGCCTTCCTATCATGTATGTGTCTCCTTTCCTGTAGGTTCTACTTAGTAGTATAGTTCCCTCATTATCATCCCTTCTGATAAGGCCCCTGCCTTTTCTTGCACTGGCTTCTGCTTTCCTTTTCAAAGAATTACTTGTACTACTAGAGCCTTTGCATCGCCAATTTTTACTTATCCAGTATCTACTTTGCCATTTTTCTGAGAAGTAGAATTTTGTCCTTAACACCATATCCAGCCTATTTTGTTTTCATTCTTCTTAATGTATCACAGCTAATTAATTTTGTAAACGATCTTTGTGTACATAGGAATTTATAAGTATGTAACATTGTTATTTTCTGTCTTTACTTGGAAGTCAATTTGCCTTTTGAACAAAATGGAGAATATGAGGCTTCCTTTCTAGCCAATTATGTTAGCGATGTTTAGATTATTAATGTGGCCACAGAATCCCATTTGAATAGAAAACGTGCATTTTATCTCTGATGGAACTACCCACCCATCACCCATTGCCTCAGAGTAGATTCCAACTCATGTACTTCACCTACTGATGTGCAAATGAGAATTGATGGTTTGTATTGGTTGCCTCATCAAGATCTTTACTGAGAGAACTTTGTGTAAAATGAAGATTATAGAGAATGTTAAGAACATGAAAAAGTAAAGACCAGAAATATTTTTAAAACAAATTGGAGGAAAGGATATATGGATTAGAGAACATAGCTCCTGTACATGGAGTCCCTGCACTGCACGCTAGGCTGCTAACTGAAAAGTTGGAGGTTTAAGTCCACCCAGATGCACCTCAGAAGACAGGCCTCCTAAAAATCAGCCGTCAAAAACTCATGGAGCACAGTTCTACTCTGACACACATGGGGCCACCTTGAGTTGTAATTGACTCCACGGCAACTCAGTATTTGTTTTTCTTTGTTGTTGTTGCTGTTATTTTTTTTTTTTTTTTTTTTGCTTTGATGAACAGAAATTTTCTCACAGTTTAGAAGGCTAAAAGCCTGAATTAAGGGGTGCCAGTTCTAGGGGAAGACTTACTCTGTCCACTCTGGGCAACTCACTTTTTATTTTTCAACTCCTCCTTTACACACAAACAAGAAAGTAAAAAGAGAGGCACCAGGTTACAATGGGTCAACATTTGTAAAACGTGGTAGTTAGATACTCTTATGTCCGTTAGAACTCTAAACTTGTAGGAAAACTCTGCTATAATGCTATAGTTGGGATCCAAGACATTCATGTAAAATGTGGAGTTGAATTATTGCAAAGTTAATAAAAGATGGTGTTTTCTAAGCTGTCCATAGTGATTGAGGCACAAAGGTAAAGAGTGAAATTTGCATTGTACATAATCGACCATACACTGAGCTGAAAAAGTAAAAAAGGTAGTCATTTCATAATGCTATCTTCCTCCACCATTGTGCTCAGAAATAAAACTTTAGCTTGTCCAAAGACGTGGGCTGACCTACTCAAATATCATTTGTCATTTGAAATTTTGTTAACCCGGGGCTTCACTGTGTTTCAGTCTATCCATGAGAGCCTAACTGAAATGTCCAAAAATTTTATGAGTCCCATTTTTTCCCTCAGTGGCAGATCTCGTCTACCCTTCTTTGAGATCACTTCATCTCCTTACACCCTCTCCCCCAACAGTATTGGAAAGAGTCAGATAACGGATCTAAACTTACTAATGGTTTGCATTTTAACGCTTTAATTTTAATTGTGAAATGTGGGAAGAAGTGGATGGACACCCAGAAAGGAACCTGATTTTGAAATTTTAGGTACTGTTTATTGATAACTTCATACTTTTTTTTCCTTACGCTCTGAAACTTTTTTATATCTCTAATTTTAACTTTACAACTTAGATTTTGAAAGCCAGAGGCTTCAGTGTATATTGGGAGGCTTTATATATTAGGTAGTAAGCTTAAGAAATATATAAAAAAAGAATTAGAAGAGTCTACAGGTTATTGATTCCATATGACTAGCACCACAAGGTGATGTCAGAGAAACAAGTGTACAGTCCATGCTACCACCATTGATCTGGTAGCTCATGTGAGAAAGAAACCTGGGAGTCAGTCTTGCTTTCTCTCATCTTCCCTACCTCCTATTCTCTGCTAAGCCCTTTCAGTTCTTCACTCATCTCAGATTTTACCACTTGTCTTAATCTCTCCTGTCCATGCCACCTACCGCAGTCTATCACCAAAATTGCAGTAACCTAACTGGACTCCCTTTCCATATTTGCTCTGGCTGTTTTCAAGATCCATTCTGTTCTGTGCAGCCAGAGTCTTTTTGAAAGGCAGATCTAATCTTGTCATAGTTCTGGTTTAAATTTTCCAATAGCTTCCAAAAATTCCAAAATCTTACGTAGGGTGTTGGTGGATTTTCATGACTGGCTTATTTCATATTTTACACCCATTCACCTCCCTTAATTACACTGCCTTCAGATTAGTCATTAAGATTTGTGAATTTACAAGTTCCTTCCGGTGTCAGAACATTTGCACAAGCTGTTCTCTTCCCTCTCATTTGCTCTTTCTCCTGCCTCTCCATTGGCCTGGTTAATCTCTACTTTCCCTTGAAATCTAAGCTTAACTGTCACTTTTTTGGACAAGTCTCTCCTAAGCACTGTACTCTTTAAAACTAGATAAGAGGAGTTTGTAGATATATTTCAGAAGTACCCTATTGTTTATTTGACTTACAATTAGAATCAGTTTTTTTGTGTGTGTTCAATAGCTCCTCTTTACTGTAATGTGAGAACTGAACCATATCTATTTTGTTTACCACTGTATTTCCAGCAGCAGCACAGTAGGCACAAAATACATATAAGTACCAACTACACAACTGACACTGAAGAAATATTTGTTCACTACTGGCAGTTTGTCAAGTTAGGGAGCAAATATCAGTGTGAATTTTAAAAGAAAGCTTAAGGAGGAAATACATACTAGAACTGAGATGCGCCTGAAAGACAGCAATGGATTGTATATCTATAGTGAATAAAAAGGCAGAGCAGAAAAGCATGAACAAAAGCATTAAGTCAAGAATAAACATAGTTCTTTATAGAGAGGAGTCTATCATGAAGAGACCAAACTGGAGAGAGAACTTATCAGGAAATGATGATGATAATGTTGGAAGTAGGGTCAGCATATGTGTTCTGGTTATCTGTTGCTGCGTAACAGACCACACCAAACTTGGTGGCATAACAACAAAAATTACTTACTGTCATTAGTGATTCTAGATGTTGACCTGACTCATCTAGGTAGGGCTCACTGAAGTTCTCTCAGGCATTGCAGTTAGACAGTGGCTGGCTGGAGTCATCTGTAAAGATTCTTCACTCACATATCTGCCCGTTGATTTTGGCTGCTATGTGGTCCTTCAGCGGTGTCACTTTTGGGAGAAGCAGTCCACAATGAGCTCTGAGCATCCCTGCACGTTTTGTTCAGTGTACCAAGAATGCAAGGCCCTGACCGCTCTTTCCCCGGGCCATTTCTTAGAGTTGTGTTTATAGCAAGTGACAGTGAGAGATGAGGTAACATCTCCCAGATAAACAGCTTGCTGCTTATTATAAAAGTGGAGATTCCCCAAACTTAGTGTTCTTCTCATGCAGTACAGACTCAGTGCATGTTCAGCATCCATCTGGGCCCTTCTCTGTCATCCTTGTGAACTTATAGGCCCAGGGGTGCTACACTAACATACTGATGTTCTGGCAACTGCTTCTGCTGTAATAGTCTTTTGTCTCTGACCCAGGAGTCTCATGTCTTCTGTAGCATCCATGAAACTGTGGCAGGCTAATACAAAAAAAAAAAAAACACCAAACCCATTGCCGTCGAGTCGATTCTGACTCATAGCAACCGTAAAGGACGG